ATTACTATTTTTGGCTCCCGTACTGGGATGTTATCATTTCTGACTGTAAAATAAACACACTTGTAAATGTTACTCCGAAAAATGTTGGGGGATGTAGCACCCATGTGTAATCCCCTACTGATAACCTCTCTTTCTGATTACTTTAACTTCAACATGACCCCCATCATGACTGCTAGTGGCGGTAATAAAGACAAGATAGAAAAATAACTGGAAAAAAGTAAATTGAAAAAAAAAAGACAAAGGTGAAAAAGTAAAAATATATATATACATAGATGTACAAAGCAAACAAATTATAAGAAAGGATGGAGAGAACAATAAGGTTTAATAGCAAGTGTTGAACAATAATGGGAAGCCATTGATTGGAGAACTGTATTAATAACAGCTTAATTATTAACTCATTTAGTTTATATGGTTTCAGTAATTGGCTTAGGCTTGTCTTATTTTTTATTGACACTGTTTTCTAAAATAATTTGGCTTTTTTATTACTTGATTGTGTAATTTTCTTTATCTTTTCTTCCTTGTCTTTATTATATTTATTCTATGATTGCATCCATGACATCTGAATTTCATGCAATCACCACACCCAACCTTGCATTAGCAACTGAGACTAGAGCAATCATGACTTTTGGACATTTTTCCAGTGTACAAAAACCAGTTTAGCACCAGAAACAAGTCTTCTGTAGGTAAATTACTTTGCAAAAGGCAAATAGACTTCCACTAAAATTTCCCCAAAAATGGGGTGAGGAATTCATTTACAAGAGATGAACCATTGAACATGAAAATTTTGTTGTTGAAAAGCTCCAAAACACCTGCTAATTTGTGTAAGAAAAACTCCTAATTTTAGGTGTATAAAGACCTTATTTAACCCTGATAATATGCCAGAAATAATTTGTTTCTTATCTAATATTGGACTATTTTAATTTTAATTCTAGAATAGAATAGGAAATTCAGCTAAAACTGCTTATATTTCAAAGCAATTTTGTGTTTCTTTGATTGTTTGAAAGTCTAATAATGTATTCTAGTAGAACAGTTCGCTAGAAAATGCTGAAGTTCTTTCTAGAACTAGTTTGAAAACAGTTGTAATTTATATATATATTAATTGAAATTGTTTCATATGAAAATGTTGTTTGTGAGGTTTCGGTTAAATATACTTAGATTGTTTATGCCACATGTATAGCTTCCAAACAATCTGTAATTTGACTGTTATTTCAAATCTTGTGAGATAAGGGTTCAGTTTAAAAAAAAAAATATCGCACTGTAGAAAAAAGTTCTTAAAATATTTTGTAGGCTTGTGATGGAATGCTCAGTTTCAGAGATATCTGTTAAATTCTAACATTACCACAAACATTGGTGAAATAATGGTAACACTAATCTATCTATCTATCTATCTTCTATATACTACTAAAACTCTGAGATTGTTTGGTTGTCTGTAATTAAATACAGCAAAAACGGCGCACAATATGAAAATAGACATATGAGTAGACTATGATAAATGAAAATAGAAACAGAATAAAACAAGCTTCGTTAAAATCGGGCCACGGGTTACCGAGTTAGCGCCATTTTTCGGGTCACTTTTATGAAAATTTCTAGCATGAGTAATTTTATATCACATTACCGTTCGCGCCTTTTACGAAACTTCTTCGTTCAAATCTATTTTCTTGTCAATGTTCGCATCTTCTTTGCAAAATGAAATGGTCTTTCCTTTTACTCCCGATCAACAATGAAATATCTTTTCTTGAATTTTTAATAACACGAATAGATTGAAATATTTAATTAAATTATCTCAAATAAACCTTCATTTTGGTGCAATATTGAAATTAGCTGAATTATTCATAACCTCTGAATAGTGGGTAACCCAATGGGTCACGGGTGGTCTAATATTTAATAAAATCATGTGGTTAAAACTTTTTCATCGTGTATCTTATTAAATTAGACTATTTCAGTCAAATATTCAGAAATTCTTACTACAATACAGTCATTATGAAAATGTATGACTGTGTTTACAAGAAAAATAGCATCATACTGTTAAGTATCTGCTTGTTTGATAATTTCACATAAAAATTCTTCCCGAGCAATTTCGGCGATACGAGTTCTTTCTTAATTAAAACTAGTTTATTCTTTCTCGTTACAAACTTTGTAATACACTTAATTTCCACAGTCACTTTAAAGTTAACCACTTTTATAAACACAGGCTATAATTCACAACGATTCTCGCACTTTACTTACGGTACCTACAGCTCGCTTGACTCAATTATCTATCTCTATATCTCTCTATCTGCTATTATTTGCCGGGCTTATATACTAAAATAGAGGGCGCCTGGAAAAGACGAGAGTCATGATCCTTCTAGAAACTCCAGCGCGCATGCTTCCAGCGTCGTGTGACTTCCGCTGTCGTAACAATACTTATAGTATAAATGATACTTGCATGTTATTGAGGATAGATAATTTTTTTTTTTATAAGTAAGCATGTTACACATACATTTAGAAGAAATACTGTAATTGGTACACAACACAATCCCTTGATTATACTATTCAGGGGCTTTGATTTCCTAGCATATATTTTTCCAAGTTTACTTTTACATCTGTATAATTTAGATTTTAAGGTCTTACAGTAGAGAGCATTTTAAACATTAATATATTAACATTTTGAAATAAATTTACTGTAGAATTTACAACTTTAAAAAGTTTTGAACGATAGTGGTGATTGAAATTCTTGCATTTAATAAAATCACGCATTTGGCAATTTTTGAATCTACTTTAATGACTAGGTAAATTCTAATATGCCTCATGGAGTTTCTGTATTATACTTGTTTTGGCTTAATTTTAGTTAACTCCATGGGACAAAATAGGTAAGAAAAAGATAAATTTTATTGCATAGTTATTAGTTTAGTCAGGAGATTGAAACTTTTTAAGAGCAGTTAAAAATAACTTTTTTTCTGTACATGAATTGGTAGGCCATTGTTTAAATATTTGTTCTTTTATTCATGTTTTAAGGACAAGACAATGGTTTAAGTTTGAATACAATATTTCACATTTTATAAACATTTTGTTATTAAGCTCTTAAGTGAGATTAAATATAGTGCACCGAGTTAAGTATTATACTGTGATTAAAAAAAAGAAGCAAACGAATTGTTGTAACTTTTACATCATACACGTACAAGGTAATTTTATTTATTTTCTATTTCACTTTCAAACATAATCATTGCACTTTAAAATCAAAACATTGTTTATAGGACTTTTTAAAATATAAAAAGAAATACATCACTATTGTGATTGAGCTCAGTTTTAAGTAATGTATCCAAATATTGAAATGTTTATACTGTGTTTTAAACGTTATTTTTTGGATTATGTACAAATATATTTTTTGTTAAAAATGATACAAAGATAAGAAGTGTGATAGTAATGAGTACATAACTGTATCAGTTGTGTACATTCATTTAAATTGATAGTTTTTATTCTGATGTTACCTAAAGTAGATTAAGTATGATTGCTGTTTGTACATTTACTGAAAGTCAACTAAACTGCTATATACATATATATATTATTTCATTTTATTAATGCATTTGGTGCTGGTTTTCTTCTGTCTCTTGTGTTTGAGTAGATGCAGAATTTTGTACCAGACTCTGAATAAACGCGATGTAAGAGCGTGTAAGATCTCTTTGACTACACATATGAAATATAGGTATAACTGCAGCAAAGAGAATTAAAAGCATAGACATCCACATGTTTGTAATATGGTGTTTTGGAAAAATTAGACATGGATCACTAATAGGGTGGATATGTAAGTAAACAAAATAAATGAGAAAGGGTAGAGTGAATAAGATGAAAATAATGACTTCTAATAATAATGTGAAGTTTTCTCTACTGTACAATGTTGGTGGATGTTGATATTGAATGGAAATGTCATTAAATGAGACAGTGTTTTCATTAGGATATGGCTGAATAGTACGCCGCTTTTTGAGATTCAGCACAAGCATGTCAACAAACATGGCTGTTATAACCAAAAGATGAAGGATATACAGAAGACCAAAAGTGAGGGAAAAACTTGATTCCCACACTGTAGGGACATGACATAGCCCATTCCAAGAGTTCCATCCAATCAGAGGTAGTAGTGCGAGAACTATTCCCTCAGTCCAGGAAGAAGCTATTAAAGCCATAGTTACTGAAATCTCATGGTGAAAGTTGGTAAAACATCTGTGTTTTAGCACAACAATATATTGCTGTATCACACGGGCAACATAAAGTCCCCAAAATGTGAAGAAGCTTAATAAAAGCAGTCCAGATGGTAATAGTAGGCACAAATAAAGATCATCCAAAGGATCAACTTCATCTGACTTTGTCCATTTCATAGCAGTATATATGTACCATAAGTCTATTGCAGAAGTCAATTGACCACAGATGGAAAAGTTTAGAAGTACTATGTTCTTTGAACTCTTGTACAATTTTTGATGAATGATCACAGTAACTTGGAGGAAATTTAGAAAAAAAGCTGTGGTTGTCATGGAGACAGCTAGTATAATAAATGTTTCCTGGTTCTGAAAGTTTTGAGGGCCACTTGAACAATTCAACCTTTCCATGATTAGAAAGTTTCTCACTAGTCCTGTAAACACACAGATGAAGAGAATTTTCAGTTTTCTATTGTCTGATACAATTCATACTTTGCGAGAGTTTCAGCATATTACACATAAGGACTTCAATGGATCGCTGTTTTGATAGTTATTTCTTTTTGAAACTCTGAAAATAAAACAAGTTACCTTAAGTAAAAACTATATTAAAATAGACATATATTACTGGTATTAAGCAAATACTCTAATAATATGAAATATATTTTTAAATATAATATTTTAACAAAGTTTCAAACCATTTCTTGCTGTACATGCAAATTAGAGGTATAACAGTTCTTCTGTCAGTCCAAATCAATGATTGTCAAACAGCACTTTATATGACTAACTGATAAAGCAGGTTTGTTTGATTTTTGTCTAAATGTTCTCCTTATTCTGTTATCTTTAAAAAAAATTCTGTTTTTTTTAATTCTGTACAGTTTTAACTTCCACAGTTTCTTTACTTTCATTGTTGTTGTAGATTATGATAATAAACATTAACTGACATCATGATTACCTGAGATCTCTGTTTCAAGCTTTATTGGATCTTTTCAGTCCAGCCAGGTTGATTGTAAGAAAGGGTAATAAACAGTATCTGTATTTTGGATTTGTGGTAAAACTGCTAAGGATATTTACCACCTTACTTAATTTTGAACTACTTTCCAATCAGAAGCACCCTACCACCCATCATCCACACTAAGGGATTGATTGTCACCCTTATAATGCACCCAGAGCTTAAAGTGTGGGGAATATTTTATGGTATTGCATGGATTTGAACCTGGCTCAAAAGTTCAAAAATCCAGAGCACTTCCACAAGGTCAATCCATGTCCACAACTAAACAAAGCCTTACAAATGTGTGACTGTTTGTTGGGAGGTTTGCTTGGTGTGTCTTCTTTATTTATAAACCTTTTGCAGGTCACCATCACTCCTGGTTTGTGATTTTATGTAATGTGGGCAAATATATTTCATATTACAATCTTCAAAACTAAAATACTAAGAAATATTGTCCTAGAACTAGCTAGACAATTTTGCTTAAACACTTTTGGGAATGAATGATTGTGGGTGTATAAAAAAATCACACCAGTTAAAGCATAATGTATTGTTACGTCTCCGTTTGTTAATTAACCCTCCGTAACTTCGTTCCGACGAAACTTAAGCGACACAAGTCTTTTCTTAATAAAAACTGGTTTATTCTTTCCGAATACAACTTTACCGATACACTCAACTTCAACAATCGCGCTAAACAACGCTATATCAACGAACGTCAATAATACTTCTGACTGCAGTTCAATTACTCACTATCTACACACCTTCCCGCGTCACGTTGTCCCCTCTTATATATATCCGCCTACCCTATT